TTTTACGGTTTACAAGAAGATTTTTGAACGTATTTGAACGAAAATGTCAATTTTAGCTACCTGTGAAACACTATATTTCTACCCATTGTGTCATTATATTTCAGTGTTCAGTAATATGAGTACAAAACAACAGCGTACTAGATTAAAGAGTAACGTTTGGTAAATAATATAGACAGGTTGGAGGAATATATTTTACGTAGATCAGGCGTACTTTACACCATATGTGGTGCACTAAACTATTTCTAATCAACTTTTAGGAACTCACAGTCTATGCCACAATTTATCACGACAGAGTGGTTTACCGGTTACCTAATAAAACGCAATTTATTAATTATTAAGTATGTAGTTCGATTTGAAACTGCATCACTGTTTTCTTTGGAAACTAGAAATATTGAGACCACACCTAAAAGTTCACACAAGTTACCCAGAACATGTTTGTATGTACCGAGTTTTGAAGTACACTTATTGTGTAACTTACTGATGAAACTATTCAGTTTTCCAGACTGAAGTAACTGGGGTGAAATTTGGAACCGACACTTGTCAGCTGTAGGTCGAGTGCCTAAGTCGATGAGCCACTTCTTCACACTATGACTGAGTGAGAGAGAGAGAGAGACAGAGTAAGTCCATATTTTAGCCCTTTACCTACCACTAATTAATATGACTAGCTGGAGATCATTTATGTGATTATGCAGTATAGGCAAATGGATTTCTTTCGGAAATTGCATAGTCCAAACTGAAATTTGTGTGACACAAGAGATTGGGTTAACAAAATTTACTACTAGAGGAAATGTTATCATTCTTTACGATAAGTATATGCATATATTTGTGCAATTAGAAGATTCATAGTGTATGCACTGTCTGAATTGGCACTGAAGAAAATGAAAGTAAGAATTGTTTGAATAAGGTACTGATAAATACGTTTCATTAGAAAGATAATACGATCTATGGCTTCAATTTCATTTCTTACTGTACGACGAGATAAAAACTAGCAAGTGAACACATTTGCAGGTTTCATCTATTCACACACACACACACACACACGAAAACAAATACCCATGCATATGTGTCCTAGCTACTGGTCAGTGACCATCTGTTTAGAATGCCACTGTGTCCTTTACTATATTTTCCTTCCTCTTCCAAGGTGAAATGAAATACGTGGAAAGGCTTAAAGGCATGGTCAGTAGTTAAATGATAGCGTGAAAGAGATTACCAATGATAAGGCTTTTCTATCTCTTATCAACTTTTGAAATTTCCACCATTCTTGTTCAACTGATTTTTTTATGAATGAAGATTTTGAAGGAAAACAGGATGACGATTACCAGGTGATTATAACAGCAGGTGAATGATAAATTGCAGCAGTTGGCAAAAAACACATATAAAGAAAACGAATATGTTGTCATTTAGTTTCAGAATATGTAAAGAAGAAATGAATGAATATAATGCCGTATAAATTCAAAGCTTTAGATATGAAGAAAGGGATGTAACCATTTCATATACATTTCAGAAAAGAGTGCGATATGGTCGTATCCCTGAAAACCAATACTTGATACTTAATCTAAAGCTCACTAGCCCTTGGCTTAATACAGAGAGGTCTGGTGAGAAGTCTTAACCGGCGGAGTCCACCAAGTCAGGCAAGGGGGCTGTCACTCACCTACGACACCAGTGGTCATTCGCACTAAATATATATATATATATCACGAATTGGCGGGAGTTGGAATTCATGGACCATTGGGTGGAGTCCCTGTGGCCGAACAGTTGACGAGCTCGCCTCGTAATTGGAAGGTCCTGGGTTTGAACCCCGGCGGGCGCTTGCTGATGAGGAGTCCCAAACTAGGACAAAAAAAACATCCAGTATTCTCGAGTTCTTCACTGTTTCTCTAACCGCGATCAACCCCATAACCAATCAAATTCCTGAAAACCAACACTTGGAATGACTTCACTTGGCAAATGACGAGGTATTAGTTAGTTTAAGAAGTACGATCTTATAGTCAATGGATTAAATGCTTAATATCAAAGGTCATTTAAAGGATATTAATCAAAAGATTAGAATATGACAAGCCGTGCTTGCATTCATTTTAACTCGAACTTGTTATTCACCTTTGTAATGCTACAATCAGTGAAATTACCTTTGCTTATTGAACTTGTCCAACGTAACTCAGAGAAAGTCACATAAGTTTTTAAAAGAGGCATTGAGAAAACAAGGTACCATATGAGAAGTTATGTGTATGAAGGAAATGCATGATTTCTTTCATCTGTGATTACTTCAATGATTCACTGACTGAATAACGGAAAGTTTACTCCGTTTACAGAACGAAAAGTGATAAAAGCACGATAAGTTCTTCAGCTTCTAGCAGACGCTTTATGTAGCCGCTAAATCACGTCAGTACGTTTTCTGATACGAGTCACATTACGCTGTATCATTCAGTGTTTTCTGGTGACTGTAAATTTATTAAACACCATGTAATATTCTGTATGACAGAATGTTTATTAGATTTTCAGGATCATTCCCATGTCTAAATTAAATCGAAAATATTTACAGTATTTAAATTCCAAGGGAAAATATACAAACAAACTGAGGGAGTTGCCATGGGATCACCTATATCCCCGGTTGTAGCAGATATATTCATGGATAGATGGGAAAAGATAGCGATTGAAACGTTCACCCCCACCCAAAAAGTATGGGGGAGTTATGTAGATGATACATTCACTGTACTCAGAACACAAGATATAGACAGATTTTTCGAACAAATCAACTCGAAGGTAGAGGCAATTCAACTCACTAATGAATTGGAAAGTCAGGAAGGGGAACTTCCAATGTTAGATTGCAACGTAAAAAGGAAAGAAGATGGGAAGTTAAACACTAGTGTTTACAGGAAACCTACACATTCAAACAGATATTTGGACTTCCGATCATCCCATCATATGTCAGTAAAAATAGGACTGGTGAAATGTTTAAATGACAGCACAAAAGCTAAGTAGTACCAAGGAAAATCCAAGACAGGAAGTGATACACATAAAAGAAGCCTTGAAACTTAATAATTATCCAGATAAATTAGTCAGGAAATATGTAAGGAAATGTAAAAATAAAATAAATAATGATAATAGCGATAGTGATGATAATGATAGTACTGATAATAATAATAATATTAATAATAATGATAATAATATTAATGACGACACCAACAATAAGGAATCTAAATCATCAGTAGTCATTCCATACAAGGAAGGAACCTCGGAAACCACCTTACGCAGAATTCTTAACAAGGCAGGAATGAAAGTGGCCGGCATTCAAACCACCCACAAACTCAATTAGAAACAAGCTTTGTCGGTTACAGGATCCTGTGGAGCCTTTAAAACAAAACAATTTAATTTATCTAATACCCTGCAATGACTGTCAGGTCAAATACATAAGTCAAACTAGTAGAACAGGGGCAGTCAGACTAGCCGAACATAAAAACCTAGGAAAATCTAGATTGGTTGACCTAAATAAGACAAGAAATCTAGAGAATAGTTTAGCCATAGCATTACATGCAGTCACACACAACCATACAATAGGATGGGATAGGATGACAGTTTTAAAATCTAATGTAACAGGGTGAATGGAGGGAGAGATTGATAACAGAAGCTTTGTTTATCGAATCAACTGCAAATACATGTAATACGAATGATTCAACACCTGTCCACCCAGATATCTGGAAAATTTTACTACATCAATGACGACAAATAGTAGAAGACAAAGAAAACTATAAAACTCAAATTTCAAAGTCGTGTGATCATAATTGATATAATTATGAATAATAAATTTTGTTCGAAACGTCATCCAGTAAATAATACTGTTTCATCACTGTGTGATACATCTAACAAACAAACTAATATGGAATCAGTTAGAGAACCATTGAAAACCATAGAGTACTGGTTTTCAGTCAATACTGGGTTTCTGATGGGGTCGAATTTAATGGGATGACACTGTTTCTTGGTATTTTGTAGTTTAAGAGAAAAAAAATTAAATCAGTAAACAAAACATCTGTCTTAAAAAGTGGGGTTAATGCTATTAAAGAATGAAATGCTTTTGGTCTTACATATTCACTGATGCATTCTGTGAAGCTGTTAGTCTTTTGTTTCACTAGAACTGATCAGTAAGGTCTGCATAGCATACCACTAGCAAACCAATGTATTTATTACACTTCTGTAGGAGGTCAGCTGCAGAGATATTGAAGCTGAAATCATAACATGGGCTTGAATAGTACAAAGCAAATTAGTTGCTAAGTGTCGATAAGCATGAAACCTAGGCTGAAAGCTTTCTATTGATTAATTGCAGCTATCTAACACCTGAATAAAACCTTTCATGTGTCACGCACTACCACCTGGCATTGGTAGCTGACTGGAGTGCATAGTATTCAGTTTGATTTAAAATAACAAGTTCCTCAATCATTTCTAATTTATTCTAAAATTAATAAACCGAAACTATGATGAGGTTCTTTGATCAAAGGACACTTAGCTGGGTAGAGATAAAACTATGAGCCACTACTAATATCATGCATTTAACCTGTAATGAGATGACATCAGAATTTATAGCCTGAGACAAGTTTCATTTTAGATACGCTGTATTTTTAAGCAACAAAGACCAGCAGTATAGGCAGATCCTATAACCCTTCTGCTTTTTTTGTCTTTATGATATTTGTTATCAGTAGGTAAAAGTGCTGCCCTGTAAGTAAAAGTATCCTAAAATGTTGACGACTTCACGAATTATTAATCAATCTTGTAATCTGTGTAGAAGTAATTTATTTTCCATTTCAGGTAATCTCATATTAGATCAACGCAAAAGTTCAGTGTGAATAACGTTCTCAAAGAATTAAATTAGACATTTAGTTTGTAAATATTCATTGTTTGAAGGGAACCAGTAATACAAAGGCGTTAGGCGTACACACTGTCCACCTTTAAACTCAAACTGTTAAGCTGGATTGAATCAAAAAGATATGAACCGCCAGAAAACAACTTACTGCTAATATGAGTCATATTGTAATAAGAATAGGAGCGGTGAGAAAATGAGTTCCGGTGACTAATGAGACATTTCGGCTTAAAGTGCTCACAATCACCAAGATTTCAAAATCGATCTTTCAAATTTGTTGGTGATTTGTTGTGTTATTAGTTCACTGCACGATTTCAGAAATCAAGTAGACTTCTCAGAATGCGATAGAAATTGAAGTTCTGCAAATGCACTTCTCTACAACAATCACAATTATATAACTTATTCTCACTACTGCATGTGATATTAAGTGACTGACCAGTCCTCTGAATGAATCTAAAATTTGTGAAATTTATTAGTAAAAACTAACAAATACTGAAAAGTTGAAATAATTTGCTGAATTCTTACCTGTGCACTGACTGTTCATTGCACATCTGTTTCTAGAATTACAGCAATCTGCTGCATTTATTGGTTGTATTTTCCGATCGATTTTTGACAAGTGATTATTATTGTTATTATTATTAGGATTATCCACAAAACCAGCGCCACTTAAAGCTCCTCCACATTTATGGTGATGAAAGTTGAAGTTGTTTTGAGATAGTTCTTTACGCTTCCCTCTCATACAGTTTAACCATGTTTCAGATGACTTTCTGTTACACCAAACCCACATACCTGATGTCATACCAACAACTAATGACATGAATATTTGTAGCATATTAGCTTCAACAGATGGAAATTGTTTATCACCTAGACATTGATTGATCAGAGACCAAGTTGTACCAAATTCTGTTAGACAATTTCCTTGTTTATCCAACTGATCAAGTGTTTTTATCCATTTTGGGTAATTAATATAATTGTACATATTGACGCCGATAACACAGACTGTCGGTATAATGTACAACATTGAAAATATACAAATTTTTATCATCAGCTTATCTAAACGTCTTATATTGCCATTGTTGAAGGCGATCACTGGACTGGATGTGTTAATCACTGTGGTTGGAGCAGCTGATGTTGACGTAGTTACAACTGGATTTCCTTTAAACTGTGAATTACAACAGTTAGATTTAATTGTAGCTGTTGCGGTGCTGGGATTATTTAAATACTTTGAGTGTTGTCTGAGATTCGACCGAACGGATATTAATGAGTAAAATCCAATAAACAAAAACAAAATACCCAATAGTAAGTAGATAATTTGTGGTAGTAAAATAAATGTTAGTAGACTGGTTGGATTTTGGTAACCGACAAAGCATAGTCCAGTTAACTCATCTGCATCAATTCGATGCATAATCAGGATAATGATAGTTTTTAATGCTGGTAAGGCCCAGGCGAGCATGTGAAGGATACTGCTGACCGCCTCAATACCTTCACAACCCCATTTACACGAGGCTGACAAAAACCAAGCTATGGCTAACATAACCCACCAAATATAGCTAGCTTGACTAAAATAATAGAGGATAAGGAATACTATGGTACACCATGTGCCTTCATGCCCAGAAGTTATCAGGAAGCTAACATTATTTTTAGAGTGGGCTATATTTCTAAGAATTTTCTTTGTCCCGTCATTCGATGCTCCACTGGATAATAAAGATTGTGATATAGTTTCCACCTTGTTCCTACATGCCACCATATCACGGCCTATGAGAGCATGAAGAATAAATCCAGCAGAGTAAAAAAAGTAACATGCTGATATATAAATAATTGGCCGCTCTGGATATGTGAAACGGGTACGATTTAAGATGAAAGTGACAATAGTCAGTGTACATGATCCCATGCATAGTATTGCCCAAACAATCATCCAAACATTAGCAAAACGTTTTTCAATTGGTCTGTAAAACAAGTGAACATTACATCGACGTGCACATGTGATATTATTATGAGCCTGTTCTGAATACAAAGGTACTTCAACAATACTGCATTTTGAAGCATGCAGTCTAGTCTTTTGAAGTAGATGATAATTTTTCAGCTCAGACTGATTATCCTGCAATGAAGGTGAATTTTGATGGTTATTATTAGTCTGATTATTTTGTCCACTTAAATGTTGATTTTGTGCGCTTTGATGTGCCAAAAATTCACTAAAATCAGGTAATAATTCAGCGATAGCTCCATGTGCTTCAGATGGTATCCCTTGACTAATAATTTGTCCATTCTTATCGAGATCATAATTTTGCGGTTGTATACACATTCCGGAATCTGATGGTAGTGACTTACAGTTTAGTTCAATTGGCCAAGGGAAACTGAAACTCTTCATTATTGGCTCACACTTTGACTGAACATAACGACATAAATTTTGACATGGTTGTAAAGCGGCTGGGGGATTTAACGCTGGAGTACACATTGGGAAATATATTGTACATAAGAAAAATTTTAAATACTGTGAACAGCCAACATTGATAAGAGAACGATAATCATTCATGCGTTTTGCTGCTTCTTCTTGTGTTGTCAGACCAACTGAATTCGGTAACCAAGTATGAGTGTATTGAAGACCATGACAAATAGGCTCATGAATTGGAACACAATGGTTGACATCGTCAACACCTTCTTCTATCTCTTGTTGTTGTGCATCATCTCCTCTGTTAGAATACACTTCATTCAAAACATGTCCATCTTGACTTGATTCTATGAAAGATTTCAAGTGTTCTGAGACTTCACCGTCTTTTTGTCTACTTGGAAATATCGAAGGTGCAGCATTTCTCAGTTTTCGTGTAATTACATATTGAGGCAAATTATTGTTAGGGAAAGATAAGAGTCCTTTGTCTCTAGCATGAAAGTATAAATCTGAATTTTTAGACAAACTTTTTTGTATTTGAATAATTCCTTGAGAATTTTTGATCAATTGTTGAACGACGATCAGAACATTAATGACGATCAGTTTTATTGTTTCTTCAGAAATAATCTTCATCATCAGTAAGGAGTGTCACATCTTTTTGGTATAAAGAAGGTTGACAGTTTCATGCTTTGCAGGCTGAGAATGCTTATGCAGAGTGTAAAAACGTATTCTCTTCAAACATTATTTTCTGTTTATCTATCTGATATATTTGTTTGAAGGTAACATTTTTTATAATAAACAAGGTACACTAACCTACGTGAATAATACAACAAGAAAATTATTAATAAAGTATTTATGTGCACAGTAATAACAAATTCCTAACTTAATGCCGATTGGCTGAAACTAACCAGCCTATCCAGAAGCAGAGATAATTTTAATTGAATAAAGTACAATAAATACAGTTTCCTTAAAAACACTGAATGATGTTAGTTTTAAAATGAAGTATTTAATTGTTTATACAAACATCTTACTGAACACTTGTGCTCACACTAATTTCACAGGAGCATCAGCGATACCACTTAGTAAACGAATTATGAATTCGCTTAGATCTATTACTATTATTATTATTATTCCCGTGTGTTGGGTTTCAACAACACATCTTCACTTTCTTCTGTTTTCTGCCATCCTCTTCATCTGGATCCACGACTTCCCTCAGGCTTTCATCTCCTTCATATCACCCTTGGACTGACGACCCACTCGTCGCTTCCCGTTAGGATGACATTCGAGCGATGGCCTGCATTGCGCTCGGTGTCATTCGATGATATACTGTCTTTTATTACAGTTTATTGTTTTCACTGAAGTACATTTTTTTGCTTCATGTTCCCCAGTGGAATATATTTCTTCAAGCTATTGGCTTGAAGTTTCTGTAGCAGTGTTTATTTTACAGGAGGGGTTGCTAGCCTCATGCACAACCTTTCCTCTTTAACAGCATTATTTCTAGCTTAGCGAGGTGAAGGTGTGCGTCGGCCGGGGATCGAACCCCGGACTATGTGCATGGTCAGCGAGCTATGCCGCCGACGCACTGAAGTACATAACTAGGCATAATTTAACAACCCATCACATTTTAAAAAGATATCAAATTGTCATAGCCACAAGTGTTAACTACTCCATTAAGATGCATGAAGTCAGAATAATACATATTCTTCAATTGCAAGTCTGCACGTCTATTTAGCCCACAATGGGACTAATCTTTCAGTAGACATCACACCGTAGTTTATTATTTACACTAGAAATCCTTTTAATTAGAAGAATGTTGGTCACAGTATTTTTCTCTACTAATCCTCTTGTTCGACGGGAAATCAATTCGGTAGTTTGTTGGTCTATTGCCATAAAAACGTTGTGTGGCACACTGAAAAAGATGGTTGTTTTTAAAAAGAGGTTTCGAAATTCCCTCAGAAACAAAACAAAATGTATATATATAACAGGATAAATTCATGGGAGATGATTTGGATTTTCGAAGGGTTGATAACTAACTATTCACGGCGTAAATTCAGAACCTGTAATAACTAAACACTTGGTCGAAAGGATCGACACTAAATGGACCGCAACTTTCTAACTTTAACATTTCTTTCTTCTACGTAAAGTAGAATTCAATAGTAAATATTTTCGATTTAATTTAGACATGGGAATGATCCTGAAAATCTAATAAACATTCTTTCATACAGAGTATTATTATATTATTGTTATTATTATTGTTTCCTTGGGTTCCTAGTGGAACATAGAGCTTCAGCTGCGTGTCTCCACTTGCTTCTGTCTTTCTTCTGCTGTACTTTTCACCTGCATCCATCTTAGTCCATACTGTTTCAATTCCTCTTCGCACGATCTCCTCCATGTCACCCTTCCACTGACGTCCCACTCGCCGCGTGCTTCCTTTTCGGCCTGGTTCTACTCGAGAAATGGCCTGACGCGCGTGCGATGTCACCCAGCCGCCTTCTCAGCCACGAGTGTCCAATTCATCTCCACTTTCTCCTGCATATTTGCTGTTGGTGAGCGATTGGTTCTTCTTTCGTTTGTTTGTTCCCATAGTTCCTTGTTGGCGATTCTTTCCGGCCCGGTCATCTGATCTTCAGTATAGATCCAGTGAGGGCAGTTGTTGATTAAGGTTTGTAACTTGTTGGAAATCCTTTTCGTAATTCGCTGACCAAGTTTCTAGCCTTTATAGAAGAACTGATTGACTTCACATCTGTGTTGAAAATCCAAATCTTGTTGTTTATGCTGGTTGAGTGAAGGCATATTTTGCCTTTCCGATCCTACCTGGCCTTGACATCTTCATCCGTCTCGACTGCCTGCTGTTGAAACAATGCTTCCTAGATAAGTGAATGAAGCAACCTCTGTCAAATCTCTCCTGTTGATGGTGATTAGTGCTGGTTTTTGTTGCTGCTGAGGTTGGTTGGTTACCTACATCATTTCCGTCTTCTTTGTCTCTACCTGGAGTCTTGTCTCCACAGCCTGGTTCTTCAACTAGTTTGTTGGTTTTCGCCTGCAAGTCTTCGACTTTGTGCGACACTAAACATAATCATTCACAAACGAAATCCACATCTTCTAAAGTCTTCTTATCGGTTCAGTGTATTCATGTTTGCTCACTTTTTATTCACAGTCTGACGCATGATTTAGTCCACCACAATTGGGAATATCATTTATGTTAATAGGCAACCTTCTATTACTCCTGTACTCACTTCAAAGGCTTCAATGTGGGTCACTTGACACGTGGTATTGCGATATAGCCAGCTGTTGAACGAGGTTGATAAAGATTTAGGCACTGCAAGCCGAAGTGTTGAAGTAGTTTCCGAATTACTTCCCGGTTAACGCTGTCGAAATCCCTTTTGAAGTCGATGCAGTTGAGGTAGGCTGAGGTTTGACTGCCATTCTATGCTTTGTTCTGTGATGCAGATGTGTAGATTTGCAATTTGATCAGAATACAGCTTGACTGTCCTGTGTCACAATATAGCTTATGTAGTATTAACTTTTTCTGAAGATATTCACAATAGTTACCACTCAAAATAATCTGTATTTTAATGATAAAATGCAATCAGTATGAAGTCGTCTGAGACAAACGGGAAATAAGAATATTGAAAGTGATGTTGTAATTTACTTTTTACATAGAAAGTAATGAAGCTGTCTCTTCATGTTTTTGTATATTTATAAAACTAGCGCAAAAAAAGTGGTAATTCAGACAGTTTAATAATGTAGTCGGATAAACCTAAAGTTATTCAATAGACAATCTTTTTATATTAACCTGGTAAAATTCTGTGTCATCAGCTAGGTGCAAATGTAACACACAAAACTACACGTGTTCTTTTTAACAAATAATTAAGCCTAATCGACTTAATACTACTTGTTCTACACGACTAATAGTTTTCCCATCTAACGAACACAGGTCTATTTCAGTGTACACATTTAATGGGAAATTGAACACATGCGTGAAATAAGTTTAAAGAACATTTCCTCCTACACGTAAATCCATTCATGTACAGGGTTTATAAAGTAATGTTGTTTTCAAACTATGGAATACAACGATTTCTTTTCATTTTCAGTTTAAATATACTTCAGACACTGAACTTCATAAAAACCTAAAATATGCTAAACAACTACAGGTATGCACATTCTGTCCTAGTGGTGTGCATAATTATGTCTTAGAAAATGAATAGGTGTTTATTAGACGAACATTATGGTCTCCATATTTTGAGTTTCTTGAAAAGATGTTGAAGAGCAATAAGTACCCTCAAAGGTTCATCAACAAGTATGGAAGATTTGAATTCACAAATGTTAAAGAAATCACAATGGGAAAAGGCCAATCTACTTTCAGCTTGATTATAAAGGTGGAAACATTGCAGCGATGATCAACAGAAGGCTGAGTATATCACTAGCCATAGCCTATCCTGCAGCTAAGCTCGTTCCCGTCTATCGGACAACTTGCTCATTGGTGCAACCAAAAATCGATAGATATCTTTCTCATGTTAACTCCAACTGTATATACAAATTTACATGTATCTGCGGGAGCAGTTACATTGGAAGGACAGAAGGAAGGGCTTATCTACCATTTTCTGAAGACGTACCAAAAAGCTTATGTCTCAAGGGAACAAGTACTTTAAACAGTGCCATCGCCAGGTATCTTCTTGACACGGGTCATTAGGTGAACGTCGCAAAATCGTTCAAAATTATCAATAGGTAAAAGAGCTCAGTTCTCCTCAAGTTTCCTGAAGCCATTTTTATCAAGCGCCTGAAACCTGATTCGTGCGTTCAGAAAGAAGCGGTTATCAGTCTTTCTTTGCCCTGATAACTGAATATTTTCACCTCTCTTTTATCTGAATGCGTAATGCTGAAGAGTTTCCATTGTGTATGATTATTAGTGTTCGGAATAGTGTTTAATATTATATATATATATATATATATATATATATATGTAATTACTGTATGCATATATTGATCGACTGATTTTTGTCTAAAATGAACTCTGTACAAGTATGTTAAAATTGTTTCTGTAGATATACTTAATAATGACTTTGGCCTGTAAGCAACTGATGAGAAGGCAACGAAATAAATGATGGTACTATTTTTATTCTGCGAAAACTGTAGTTCTCGCTTTATTCAAATTCATTAAGGGGAATAAATGTATGAAATCAAAGATGTGTTGGAAAACGCTGCGTACGGTTAGTCGTTTTAAAGTAATTGCTATCCTACCGAGTGAATCACGTCAGTGCGTACAGAATGTCTATTTACATTGATTTCTGTAGATTGAGATTCACTGTCTTTTTACCGTCTTAAAATGTATCACAGTCGTAATTTATAAACATATGACATTTCTCTACATTTGTACATCTCTTAGTCTCATATGACAGAAGCTGATTATTAGTAGTATGTCGATATTATTAAAAAGCTCATTTTCTTCAGTGAAGCAGATTGTCGTGAGTTCGAACTCCAGTGGGTGCGTACTACGTATGATTTCCAAACCAGGATGAAACAGCTGTCCAGTACTCCCTGGTTTTCAATGCTTCTCTAACGGATATCAATCCGTATCTTATGCGTACAAGTAGATCTTATGGCGAAACCTAATTCCACAGTAAATATGTTAGTTAAACACAAAACTCAGTGTTCTTAACTGGATCAAGTTTCAAGAACAATTTTTTGTTTATATTTATATCAGGGTAGACATTTAACTTTCTTATAAGCACTATACAACGATATTCTTTTCAATTTTCCCGTAGTGGAATAAATTCTGTTTTATTCCTATTACAAGTGCTAATTTTGCAAGATAATGACGTACAATGAAATA